ATTCCATAGCACTTAACAACAATACCACATAGGGCAGAGAAGAAATGTCCATATGGTTTCTGAAACTGTAAATCTTTACAGGAACAGACACCTTCATCTTTTTCACTGGTGGGTTTGAACTGTTGGCGTTGCAGGTAGCAGTCCAGTCTTTAATCCACTGTGCCACTAGGGCTTCTCTCTAGTTTCCAATGGGTCACTAGATGTCCTCCACCCGTTTTCCATATTCAGTGCACCCATGAATGAGTGAGACTTCACTGTAGAACTGATTTTGAAGTGCCCCTTTGTTTTGAAATTTCTTTGCCGTGTTTTCCATTATTTGGCTCCACAAGAGTTATTCAGAATTTCAGCAGTTTTTCTCTGACCTAATCATTTTATAGACTCCTGGTGTGGTGCTATGGGTTAATGCGCCAGACTGCAAAGCCGTTTGAACTGCAAGGTTGGCAGTTCAAACTCACCAGCTGCTCCTTGGAAACCCTATACAGTGTTGCTATGAGTTGGAATTGGCTCGATGGCACTTAACAACAACAACAATCATTTTATGTCTTCACCAAAGTAAAAACAGTAATACTTCTGCATTTGTTTGTTGGTTTGTTTATTGAGAAAGCAAAACTAAACAGTATTTATTATTTACTTTACCACTGATTTATTTACTTTATAAAACCAAGGTCTCTAAACATGTCATTTCATCCATATACTAAGTTAGATTACATGTTCTATATGTTAACTAATGAATTGTATTTAGGCTTAATTAGATTTATACCATCTTAAAACTGAAACAAAAACTTAATGTTCTTTAATAAGGACATAATTTACGCTAGTAGACTCGACAGTTCATGTAGCTTCCTAATGTGGAGCTGTGGAATCCGTACTGGAGTGGGTACCACAGATTGTCAGTCCAAACCCCCAAGGTTGGCAGTCCAAACCCCCAAGGTTGGCAGTCCAAATCCCCGAGGTTGGCAGTCCAAATCCCCAAGGTTGGCAGTCCAATCCCACCAGCTGCTCCACAGAAACCCTATACAGGGTCCCTATGAGCCGAATCGATTCGATGGCACTTAACAAAAAACAAACTATTTAAATGGACTCAGCATGGCATGAGAACACAGTTTTTTATAAATGGAAATCTGTCTAAAATCTTCCTATTCAAATTGTAGCCCATTTGCATCACCTGCAAGCTTGTTCAAAAAGCAGACTCCCAGTCTTCTCACTCTCTACCTAAAGAATCTTAATCTGAGTTTTGATTAAAAAAATGTGGGCGATTCATGTGGACATTAGGTTTGAGAAGTACTGATTTTATATCTATGAATTCTATGAATAACACTACACCTAAGTGAGATTGCTTTGAAATTGATGACAAGAGAGTTAGTTGTCAATTACATTCATGTTGAATCTGCTGAAAAGCAAACCCAGCAAGTACAAATGACTTGTGTAGTATGAAAATATTAAAGATAACAGTGTGAAAATTATATTAAATCTACGAAGAGTTAGAAATATTGAAAGAAAAAACTATAAAAATCATTACAGAAAGTACAAACTAATAAAAAAGTGCTGAAAATATTTTGCAATCCATGGTGTGAGGGAAAGTTGACCATGAAAAGCATCCTGATACATGTGACATAGGAGTGATAGTTGACAATAAGGCAGAAATTAATCAGAAATCGAGCATGGTGGTGAGTGTTCCACTGAGGTTTCCTAACGAGGAGGGCATAGTTGAGGCTTCAGCTCCTCTCGTGCAGTGCCTGACACTATTTGCTAAAAGATAAAGATAAACTGGAAGATGTTCAGAGATGGTCTTGAAGATTGATTATGGCATAGGGAGAACTGATTTATGAGGAGAGAGAAAAATAATTAAATGGAAAGCACTGTGCTATAAAAAGAGGTTACAGAGACATGGATATTTATCTAATGTTTCTCGAGTGCTATTTTTCGGGAGTATCTGTATGAAAGGTGCAGAAACGTAAGGGTGTAAGGCTACTAAGAAATCTGTTACAGAGCAAAGCAATATCAGCTGAAATTACTCCATTAAATTAAGAAGACTATCAAAAATTATGTTTCAGAAATAATGGTACATGAGAAATGACCTAGATTGGGATGACTTTATCCCTGAGAACTTTGGAAAGTTCTTTGAGCAAAAAATGGAAAAATTATATATTAAATTGCTGGATTATCTCCCCAGGGAAATAATTGGGAACTCATCTCTTGCAACTTCTAAGATAAGGAAGGAGAAAGCCGAGGATGTTGCCTATGGGAACTTTATGTGCTTCTGGCAGAGAGAGACTTGAAGATTGACGAGTTTTTCTTCTGTAAAACCTTAGATTATTGCTGATGTTGCCACATATAGATAAATTATTTTTCTTTATGTTTGCATCCTACTTAAATAAAAAACATAGTTTCTAAAAGCTAGATGGGTCATGCATGGGCACAGGTAGACCACTTGGCATTCATGGACAGTCTTTTTCAGTTCTCTTTACAATATAATTCATTAAGAGGTACAGATTACTACGTATCAGGAGTGACATCTCTTCCTACATTCACTTCATTCAGGAAGCTAAAAGAACAAGCCCAAATGTACCTTGCATTGTGGAACTATTTGTAAATACAGTCATGTGCTGTATATGGCCCATTCAGGCAACATCTGACATCTTATATATCCATGGTCCCAGAAGGTTACAATAGAGTTCAGAAATCCTGATGGAAGAAAGAGATGAAGCAAACACAGCTACTTCTCACATACAACATATAAATCTCATGACTCTTGCAGAAGAAGCCACTGGTAAACTGTTACAGTACATGTATAACATATAATACCTGTGTCTTGATGGTCATAATAAATGCCTATGTTACTGGCTTATAGATGCACTGAATTGTATTTTCTATCTAAAATATCTACTGTTTAACAGTGTATGCTTTGAGTCATAGGTAGCAGCATCCAATCTCATGTATCGCACATCTCTTGAGTGTTGTAGCATTATCTCTGTTTAATCTTCTTTCAAAAATAATACTGTGAAGTGCATTATCATTGCTCCCAAATGCAGCAAAACCAGTGCTAGTGAAAGCAGCAGCAAAAGGAAGCATAGCTATTTGAAAGTAAAAGCCAAAGGTGTTAACAGGGAGGTGGAAAGTCAGTGAATACTATTTCTTACAATTTAGGCAAATCACACCCAACTCACACCAATCCTCAGAAACAAAGAAAAGAGTCACCATGCTGTTTCAGCTTTGATGAAAGCTACAAGGGTAAGAATGTGAGAGGGACCTATATCAGATATGAAGGAATTGCTAACGATGTGGATAGAGGACCAAAAGCAAAAGCAAATTCCTTTCAGCATACTGAGGATCACTGCTCAACACTTGTTGGAGAGGCTTACAGAGAAAGTAGGAACTGACGAGGACATGGTGTTTACACAATATCCAAACCACATAATGTCCTAATTCTCAGAATAGATCATGGACTTTAAAGTACACATGACTGAAGGTAAAGAAACTAAGAAATCATCTAGTACCTGAGAGAGTCCCAAAACTCTTTTTGCCAGGATGAAAACCCAGATTGTGTTGGCCAATTAGTTAATGGTCAACCACCATCCCATTTTCTTCATACCTATGTAGACTTTTTTTTTTTTTTTTTTAATCCAATTAGATGCATCAGCTAACATGGGAAGGAAGATCAGCACTCCTATTCCATGGATCAGAAATCAAGTAAAATTATTCGGTATTCTAATTCATTGTTCTATTTTTTTGCATTAATTCCTGCAGTCCCACATTTATATTGTCCAGAATATCTCATTGAATGCAGCTGTTGCTAGGAATAATTCAGATCCTTGGGTATATGACTAGTGCTTACTGGTTTCCAATTTTATTTAGCTTCTGGTTGGAATTTGAAAAAATGAAATCCTACCTAAAAGCAATGAAAGCTTCCTGACTATTCAGGTGAATACACATATAGACACACAAAGAATAACTCATAGCAAGTAACTTGACCGAGACGCATTGGATAGATTTCTTTATACTGGTGTGTCGGAAGGCTTGCAAAACTTAAAGCAGTCATCAAATGAATTAAATTACTTTAGATGATCCATACTATGGATTTTTTGTTGTTGATGATGGTGTTTGTTTTTAAGTTATTGTTCAATTTTGTTACTTATGCCTTATGTGCCTGCTTTGGTTTCAAGAAATTCAATTTAGCAAAAACATCTTATCTTCTTCCTTCCCTTCTTCAAAGAGATCTAAAATGGAAAACAAAAAGTTTATTCTGCTGTATCCAGAATCCAAAGATCATATTTTCTAAATCCCATTTTTGTGAAAATGGCTCTAAGAAACTGCCAATATCCTATATGTGTAAACAACAAATGTAGACAAGATAAAAACTAATTGAGGCAAAAAGAAAAACTGATAGGTTGCAATCTTACTTTTTCTTTTCTTGTTTCCTGCTTGCTATAGCTAGCAAAAGGGTAGAAAGTCTTTTTTTCTTTCTAAATCATTCTACTAGTGTCGTATTGATTTTCTCTCAAGTACTCCCTGCGGTATCAGATGATCACATATTTGCTGGTGTTATTTGTATTGATACTGTGCCTTGATTCTGGGTTGACATATATTACTTAAGCCGTGACAACACTACCCTTCATTGACATTTCATGGTGGTGGTGTGTACCAAGCCTCTTATGCAGAAAAGCATAAGAGAACAGGCTGTTTCACAACAGTATGTGTTATCATTCTTAGAAAAGCAATTCTTATTCACTCCAAATGATACTGTAAACCCTCCAGCAGTGTTACTTAACATTGTCCTTAGTCTCTACAACAGTATCTTGATTTCTTGTGTATCTCTGCTGATGCAGGAAAAATACAGTCTTCAGCTGGGTATCAAAATATTCTTGTTACATTGTTTGTAAAAAAAAAAAAAACATTTATATTGCACAGTATCTGAAAGAATACATGGTGACTTGCCTCTGATGTTGCTCAGTCTTGCTTACTTTTGTATTCTTCTCTCATCTCACCTCCCTCTGTTTCAGCTAGCTGTGAGGTGGTTGGAACACAACTGTCGTTACCAGTACATGGATGAGCTTCTGCAGTACATCCGCTTTGGCCTCATGGATGTGGATACTCTCCATACAGTTGCCCTGTCCCACCCCCTGGTCCAAGCAAGTGAGACTGCAACAGCACTTGTCAACGAGGCCCTGGAGTACCACCAGAGCATCTATGCACAGCCCGTCTGGCAGACAGGCAGGACCAAACCACGGTTCCAGTCAGACACTCTGTATATCATTGGTGGGAAAAAGCGTGAGATCTGTAAAGTCAGGGAACTTCGGTACTTCAACCCTGTTGATCAGGAAAATGCTCTCATAGCTGCTATAGCCAACTGGAGTGAGCTGGCTCCCATGCCCGTGGGAAGGAGCCACCACTGTGTGGCAGTAATGGGAGACTTTTTGTTTGTAGCAGGAGGGGAAGTTGAGCATGCCAGTGGCCGGACGTGCGCTGTAAGGACTGCCTGTCGCTATGACCCCCGCAGTAACTCCTGGGCAGAGATTGCGCCCATGAAAAATTGCCGAGAGCATTTTGTGCTTGGTGCCATGGATGAGTACCTCTATGCGGTTGGGGGCAGGAATGAACTACGCCAAGTTCTGCCTACAGTTGAGCGATACTGCCCCAAGAAGAACAAATGGATGTTTGTGCAGTCCTTTGACCGATCCCTTTCATGTCACGCTGGACATGTGGCTGATGGTCTTCTTTGGATATCAGGTAGAACACACCTCATACATGGGCTCTATTAAAAAAACAAAAAACACTTTTCATCATGACATAAATTTAAAAGTCAAGTTTTGATAACATGGCCATGTGTAATTGAATGATTGAGCCAAGGATGTCATTTTAGCTAATTAACAGTCATTTATTGAACACCTACTCTATAGAGAGCAATGTAATTGGAAGTAATTGACCTTTCTATCACTTGCTATGAGTGATTAGTGGAGTAAAAATTCAAGATGAAAATTAATGGCCCATGACATCTGTTTCTCTACCAAACCTTCTATTGTTTAGATGATCAGCTCTTGATTATTCATGGATTGTAATGCACAGTTTGAAGTTTATCCAGCTCCTTTGCTTTTTCTTTCACCCTGGGCTGTCTGCCCAGAAGCCATTTCATCAAAGACAAAGCAAAGGAAGTAGAAGTTCAGTTAATCCATCCTACAACCAGGGCATCTCCATGCTGTGCATTATGGGGAGGGATTTAGTTACTGTCTAAAATAAAGCTTTTGTATTATCTATAAACTGCAGTTATACATGGCTTCCTACTCCTGCATTCTTATTTCATACTCCCATTCTTACTAATCATTTGCAGTACAGTTCTAGCTCTAGTGTAGATTTCTTTTTTATTTTTGCTTAAAAAAATCCTTTTGATGATGGAAAAGTAGAGCTAACTATAGTGAACCCAGGTATGCATAACCCAGCTTCAACAGCTTCTCACTCATTGTTAGTCTTGTTATCCGTAAACTCACAGACTCTATCCCATCACAGATTATTCTGAAACAAATCCTAGACATATCATTTCATTTAAATAACCTAATGTGAAAATATACTACATCAGACAAGGATTCATTTAAAAATACAACCACAATATAATTGTCATACAGAAAATTAATAATTACTGGTGTGGTGCTAAAGAATGAGCACTGGACTGTTCATCACAAGGTTGGTGGTTCAACCCCATCAACTGCTCCTTGAAAACCCTATACAGGATTACTATGAACTAGGACCGACTCAATGGCACTTACAACACAGTCTTTAAATACCCCGTCAGTGTTGAAATAAACTCAGTTATTTGCATAATGGTTACAAATCGGGCTGCGAACCTTAAGGTCAGCGGTTTGAAACTACCAGCCGCTCCGCGGGAGAAAGATAAAGCTTTCTACTCCCGTAAAGATTTACACCCTCGGAAACCCTGTACAGGGTCGCTATGGGTTGGACCCGACTCGATGGCACTTAACAACAACAACAACAACATTTGTTTTATGCTCTTTTTTTTTTAAGCTTTTATTGTAAACTGAGTGGTACTTTACCTGGAAGAACACCGGCTTTATACCATCGTTTCATTGCAATGATTACAATCTCCTCTGTGTATCATCATTCAACAGTATTTGCTTCCATTCCCTCTAGTTTTGGTTTGTTGTTTGTTTTTTTAGGGGGGGGTGGGGGTGGGAGGAGATGTACACAGATAAACTCAGGAATATAAAATAATTTAAACAACCAAAGGGCACATTCTGCAAGCCTGCCTTCTGGCCACCAGCACTCAGTTTCCTCGCTTTGATTCTTTTATAGGAAAATTGTATAGGTGGCATTCTTTTAGCTTTGGCCAGTAGTTCATCTGAGACATTCTTTGAAAGACCTAAAGTCTTTTATTGATATGATTTACTCTCTGCATCTCATGCCGTGTGGCATAGGGCAGACGACTCCCAGATACATTCAGAAATGAGTAAACTCATGTATGATAAATCCACACAACTGGGTAAAGATTATTCCATAAGCCAGTGCCAAAATTGGATGGGATTCCAACTTTCTGTAAATGCAGGTCACCAAGTGTTTATTGGATATCTGCTGTGTACCGATCACTCTGTGGCCAAGTCAGTCAATGGTAATGATTTTCTATTGATAGACTGAAGACTTAGTGATTGAGTGTTCAAACTCTAAACCAGGGGTGGGGAACCTTTTTTCTGCCAAAATTTTTAACATCATTCATGAGCCATACATAATTATCAACTTAAAAATTAGCCTGCTATGTTTGATCATACATTTAATTGTTGTTGTTGTTGTTAAGTGCTATTGAGTTGGTTTTGATGCATAGTGACCCTGTATAGGGTTTCCAAGAAGTGACTGGTGAGTTTGAACCACTGACCTTGCCGTTCAAATCAACTTTGCAGTCGATTGCTTAACGTGATGGTAGCGTAGTGGTTACGAATCGGGCTGCTAATCTCACTGTAAGCAATTCGAAACTACCAACTATTCCGCAGAGATAGATGAGGCTTTCTGCTCCCATAAAGATTTATAGCCTCGGAAACCCTGTACAGGGTCACTATGAGTCGGAACTGACTCCACGGCACATAACAACAACAACAATGTGGTGGCTTGAGTCCGGGTGTGGCACTGTGGGTTAATGAACTGGACTGCAAAGTCAGTTTGAACCACAACTGGTTGGTGGTTTAAGCTCACCAGCTGCTCCTTGGAAACCCTATACAGGGTCATTATGGGTTGGAACCAACTCAATGACACTTAACAACAATAAATATGATGGCTGGAACTGTGGTTGTCTTGGCAGGGCCAGACCAAATGATTTTGTAGGTCTTATATGACATGTGGCCCAATATTCCCCACCCCTGCTCTAAACCCTGGCTATCTTTTTGTTTGTATAGGAGAAGTCTTTGCGGTGTAGATTACTAACATCACATTACCAGCCTGTGTTTTCAGTTCTGGGATTGATAAAGCCCTCCTTTGAAAGATTTGTGTCATAAGTTTGAAGGAAACCCATTTTTGTGCCCCAAGTGACACTCATTTAATTTCCTTGTCATCAAGAACAAATAAGAGGTGGAAAATCAAATGACCTAAATACCAAGATTAACTGAGATATTTTTAATTAGAAGAATCAATCGCTTTTAGGTATATTTCTCAATTCTTCTCAGATATTCTTAATGATCTTTTCTGGTTTTTAAACACCCATTCTGAAATGCCTTGTATTTAAAGTAAATTCATTTGGACTGTATCTATTTATTCTTCCACTGTCCTCAATAACCAGGGAGACAGCCATGGTCTCAGCTTCTTTGGTAGCGCCTCCATCACTGACAATTCATTGGTTGTCATTGAAGAAATTTAGCTCAGGTCAGGGTCTTAGTGCTCAATACATTAATGAATGAAGTTAAGACTATGACTAAGGAAGAAGATAAATGAGGTGGATCCAGGAATTATTGGACGTAAATACCAAGTAAACATTAGATACGAGTGAGGATATTAGTATACATGAATATATTTAAATTATAACCTCATTTATCTGGTGACCCATTCCTGCTGTTTTGTTGTAGTGTGGCATTAATTCTGACTCATAGTGACTACTCATAGTAGTACATAGTACAGAGTAGAACTGCCCCCAGAGAGTTTTCTAGGCTATAATCTTCATAAGAGTAGCTCTCTAGGTCTTTCTTCCTGCAGAACTGCTGGTGGGTTTGAACCACCATATATTTATTAGGAGCCGAGCACTTAATCATTGCACTACTAGAGTTCCTTTATGTATTTGGTTGTTTGTTAAGTGCCTAGAAAATTAATACCAGAATTACATCCTGTTAATTTTCCTGAAGAAACTTCAAGCTAAGCTGCAAACAGATCTTTGCTAATAGAAGGTTCAGAGCTGTACTTGTCTTGGATAACAATAAGATGATGGATCGATGAAATCGGTGCAATTTATATTCTCTCCCAATTGACATTATCCTTCATTGACTCATTTAGTTTCATATGTTGTTAACATGCTGTATTCTGAAATTTTGCATTGCATTTTCTAAATTTTGCATGAATTTCTCATAAATGTTTTAATAAATATTCTTTTTTTGGGGGGGATGGGCAAACTGTGAAACTAGCTTTTAAAAAATTCTGGAGTTTCCATTACATGATTTTAAAGATACCTTCCTTCATGAGGTCTTCTTAAGAAAGCATGGAAACTCATCATAGATAAGCTAGATCTGTCATTGTGACATCAAACAGACTTCCCTTTCAACAGGGTGTATATGTTTCCTTTTTCATTTTATTAACTGTATCAGTGTACTACAGATCATATCGAACATTATTTTCTATTTCCTCCATTGTGTAAGCAAATACGTTTTCTTGGTTCTTCATTTGCACTTAGGTATGCTGCCCGTGTTAGCCATACTTAATGAAAACAATCACAGTGTTCTCAGGTTTTTCCTCCCCACTGTGTACTTGAGGTGAAAACTCACTTTCCTATGTACAGTACAATACCTTTAATTGGAAAGAAGAGGAAATCACCAGTGACATTTCTAATACCTTTAGTCATCTGCCTCTTTCCTCCGGCTTGGCTTATAATAAATCAATTGTGAATCTAGCCATGGATAGGGAAGGGTGACTAGGTTTGCTAATGGGCCCTTTAAAAAAAAAAAGGCAGGTATGCTTAACAACAACAACAATCACTGATTTACAAACATAGGAGGAGATGAAAATGTTTGAGGCTATTCTCTATCCTTTACCAAATAGTCAAGTATTTCCCATTTAGTTGATGGGGGATTGGGTCATTGGCATCCTTCTGGTATTTCGCAAGCTTTGCCTGAGGCAGTTGTAGTATGGATTATAGAATGTGGATTTTAGGGGCTTATTTCTGTTCCATAGAACAGAAAATGAGTGTTTTCTTATAGACAACATTTCCATCGCGTGCTCTAGTGCTCACTCACTCTCTCTCATCATTGTGGAGTCTGTCTATAGTTTTTAAAGTGAGACAAGCAGAAAGGAACTAAAAAAATCAGGCCATATGGATATACACATTAGTATTTAAGATATTAACCCCATTGCTCTCCAATCAGTTCTGTCTCACAGCAACCTGAAAGGATTGAGTACAACTGTCTCCATAGAGCTTCCCTGGTGTGTTGCTATAGGATCAGCACTGGACCACAAGACTGGCCCAGAACTCACTAGTGGCTCCTGGAAAATCCTATGTAGGACCACTATGAATTAGAACAGACTCAACGGCAATT